TCTCTTGAGTATTGTAGAGGTATTTTTCTGTTGTCTTATGGCTTAAGAGTAAACCTGCTGTGATTCTTCTTTATATTCCCCTGTATGGATGGAACTGGTGGTTGTGTTGGATACACAACTCTATTCATTTGGCCAAAATCTAAATAACAATAAAACTAAATAACTATAAGAGTGAATTTTACTGTATCTAAATTTTTAAATAAATACATATATGTTAAAAGCATATTATGTACTTTGCATTGTATTAGTCTCTAAGAATACAGTTGAACAAAATTTTCAATTTTACGAAGCTTACAACCTAGTGTATGCACAAAATTTTCAATGATACGTGGTAATTGATGATAGAGTACATGCAATGGGAATATAAATGCATAAAGTGTCTACTCTAGGGGAGAGTGAGGGATGGTATTAGCCCCAGGTCACCTAGGAGAGTGCCTTGTACATGGTTGGTGTTCAAACAGTTGTTGAGTGAATCATCTAACAAACACTTGAAAATATAAGACTGAAGTTAAGCAGGGATGAGACAGACAAGTCAGTGGTATTCCTTCATTTATTTGGCAATTATGTGTTGCCTATTCTACAGCAAACTATTGTCATTTGTGCTTAATATGTAGCAGTGAACGAAAGAAAAACCTGAACCCTGGAATTCCACTGTGCCTGGCCTATAACCACTCTTATCCTAGTGTAAATTATAAATTTATGATATTAAGGATAATGTACTTTGATGTATTTTCTTTCTTTTTTTTTTCTTAAATTAATGACTAACAGCATTGAATTAGAAAAGTTGTATAATCTTTGTGGAGTTCTTTATCTGCAAAATGAAAGAACTGGATAGAATTATTTCCAGGGTTCTGTCCCATTTTAAAAACATACATCTATGCATTAAAGAATAAAATATATCAGAAATGATGGAATTTACTGAAATTGAAATGATAGAGCTGTAGAAGAACATCTACAACTTAGATCTCTCCTTTATAACATGGGCTGATTGCCAGTACTTGGGGAATCTTTCTCAGCGAAACCAGATCTATAAAACACTGTTTCTTTGGGCCACCTACTAGGCATGGAATTACTTCATTTTATAGATTTCTTGTTGTTTGGTATTACTTGTGGCACAGATTCCTTCAGTAAGTATATATGCCCACCACCATTTACAGATTACTCAACTGATGTAGTTAGAAAGAGTCCTCAATAGGCCCGGCACGGTGGCTCATGCCTTAGTCCCAGCACTCTGGGAGGCCGAGGCAGCCGGATCACGAGGTCAGGAAATTGAGACCATCCTGGCCAACATGGTGAAACTCCATCTCTACTAAAAATACAAAAGTTACCTGGGTGTGGTGGTACACGCCTGTAATTCCAGCTATTCGGGAGGCTGAGGCACAAGAATTGCTTTAACCCAGAAGACAGAGGTTGCAGTGAGGTGAGATCCCACCACTGCACTCCAACCTGGCGACAGAGTGAGACTCTGTCTCAAAAAAAAAAAAACAAAAAACAAGAAAGGGTCCTCAATAATAATGAATTTTATGTGCCAGATGCTTTCTTCAGTATTTGTGGGCTTTTTCTTTTTTTAAAAAAGGTATTATTTTTAAAAATAAAACACAGAAAAGGATAAAAAGCTATTTCTCGAAGGGATTTGGGAAGAAATTATTACTCTGTCTGATCATTGTACCGGTAAGCTGAATGATTATTATTAATCAGCTTAATGATTATTAAGCTGAATGATATTAATGAGCAAACATCATGCTCATTTTTTCAAACATCTGAGGCTGTTTTGAGGACAGTGTTTGAGAGGATCACAATTCAGTTAGTTCAATACTGACTTCCCCAAGAGCTCTCATGGAGTTACTGCAGGTTGAATATCTGTAATCTGAAATCCAAACTGCTCTAAAATCTTAAATGTTTTGATTGCTGACATGATACCTTAAGTGGAAAATTCCACACCTGGCTTGTGCAGGTTGCTGTCAAAATGCAGGACTACAACACAGTTTATTCAACATCCTCAGGGGAAAAAGACCCTCCCAGCTCTCTTCAGCTGCGGTAGCAGCATGCATTCATAACAGAACAAGACATCATGTCATTTATAAAATCAAAGCTAGATTAATAAGACAAAAAACTGTTGTTAATGAGGCAGATAACTGTGGAGGAAACATGTATTTTATTTTTATTTATTCATTCATTTATTTATTTTTAATTTTTTTTTTTGAGACGGAGTTTCGCTCTCGTTACCCAAGCTGGAGTGCAATGGCGCGATCTCGGCTGACCGCAACCTCCACCTCCTGGTTTCAAGAAATTCTTCTGCCTCAGACTCCCAAGTAGCTGGGACTACAGGCGTCCGCCACCATGACCAGCTCATTTTCTTTGTATTTTTAGTAGAGACGGGGTTTCACCGTGTTGACCAAGATGGTCTCTATCTCTTGACCTTGTGATCTACCAGCCTCGGCCTCCCAAAGTGCTGGGATTATAGGCGTGAGCCACCGCACTCGGCCTCATTTATTTTTTGAGACAGAGTCTCACTCTGTGTCCCAGGCTGGAGTGTAGTGGCACAATCTCGGCTCACTGCAACCTCCACCTCTCGGATTCAAGCAATTCTCCTGCCTCAGCCTACTGAGTAGTGGGGATTACAGGCGTGTGCCCACACCCAGCTAATTTTTGTTTTTTTTTTTTTGTTTTTTTTTTTTTTTGAGACGGAGTCTCACTCTTGTTGCCCAGGCTGGAGTGCAATGGCACGATCTCAGCTCACCGCAACCTCCACCTCCTGGGTTCAGGCAATTCTCCTGCCTCAGCCTCCTGAGTAGCTGGGATTACAGGCACGCACCACCATGCCCAGCTGATTTTTTGTATTTTTAGTAGAGACAGGGTTTCACCATGTTGACCAGGATGGTCTCAATCTCTTGACCTCGTGATCCACCTGCCTCGGCCTCCCAAAGTGCTGGGATTACAGGCTTGAGCCACCGCGCCCGGCCTAATTTTTGTATTTTTAATAGAGGCAGGGCTTTGCCATGTTGGCCAGGCTGGTCTTGAACTCCTGGCCTCAAGTGATCTGCCCAAGTTGGCCTCCCAAAGTGCTGGGATTATAGGCATGAGCCACCATGCCTGGCCTTTGAAGGAAACATTTAAAAATGGTTCTACAGGAACTATCCAGCAGAATGCCTCCTCATCCCTAGAGAACCCTTTTTTTGGTCCCACAATTGTTTATGTTTCTTCTCACCTAAAAAAATAAAATACAGTATACAGTAACATTTTAATCAAAACACAGCATCATAGGTGGAGACTGAAAGCCTACCATTGTTAGTTGTTGCTATTGTTTAAAATCTGGTAATTGGTATTTTGGTGATACTACACTGCATACATTATTTTTTCACTATTTAATGACGTCATATTTTTTATTGTTCTTATGTGTGAATAAATTAAGAAAATTATTGCTTATTGGTATCATAAATTCAGAATCAGGAACGATGGTGATGCCAAATAGCCACAGATTATTCACATGGGTAACTGAGATAGTGACACCTTTGCTTTCTCTTGGATCATTGTACACAAACTTTGTTTTATACACAAAATTATTTAAAATATTGTATAAAATTACCTTAAAGACCTGGACATTCTCCCCAAGATATCTCTTTATATATATATATGCAAATATTCCAAAATCTGAAAAAAAATTCAAAATCTGAAATGCCCCTAGTACCAATCATTTTTGGATAAGGGATACCCAGCTTCTAATAATTTTATCAAAATTAGGTTCAAATCAGCTTCTTGGGGCCATTTATTCAACGATCAAGAGCTGAACCAAATTAATCACCTTCATAAAAATATAACTATAGGTGCTGTGAAGACCAATTTCATGAGGTCTGTCTGGGAAGCAGTCCCAATGAGTTCATCATCTGTTACAGGACCTTTTGAGTGACCAAATATGGAGAAACCAAATCTCACATCTGGTATTTATATATTGTGGATAGTTTTTTGACTACTGACAGGCATCAGCAGCTTATATTTCACATCTGTCTATGTTCATATGTACTGCATGGTTAATATTTAAAAGTTAAGAATAAATTGGCCAGGTGCAGTGGCTCATGCCGTTAATCCTAATGGTTTGGGAAGCTGTGATGGAAGGATCGCTTGAACCCACGAGTTCATGACCAGTGTTGGCAACATAGTGAGACCCTGTCTCTACAAAAAAGAAATTGAAAAAAATTAGCCAGGTCTACCCTCCTATAGTTGTAGTTGTTAAGGAGGCTGAGATGGGAGGGTCACTTGAGCTCAGGAGCTCTAGGTTACAGTGACTTACAATCATGCCACTGCACTCTAGGCTGGGTGACAGAGCAACACACTATCTCTAAAAATAAATAAGTAAATGGGAGCCGATTTCAATAGCTTTTATTATTATTAACAATTAATATAGTGAGGCTAACAGATAAGGAGACAATTGCCATTAAAAATGCAGTTACGGTTCACAAGAGGAGGAGGCACACCACACCATAGTGGCCACATGAGGAGCACTGGGGTCAGTCAAGAGACAAATAGGAGAGGGGACACTGTGAGCCAAAGTCTTTGTTGTGGTTTCTGTGGGAAGTAATGGTTGAGGCAAGGTGAGCGGGCTTAAGCTTGGCTTGGTTGAATAATTTCAGTGGGCTCTGGATCAGAGGACCTGTCCCTAGTTAATCGTGTCTTGTACATGGCCCTGGGGTGATTATAGCAGGTGGATAGTGGAGAGGACTGGTAAAGAGAGAACCTGGTAAAGGAGGTGGTTGGAGGTATGGAATCTGGGCTAGTTGTTTTGCATTTGAAAAATTCACTCATGCTGGGTGCGGTGGCTCACACCTGTAATCTCAGCACTTTGGGAGGCCATGGCAGGCAGATCACGAGGTCAGATGTTCAAGACTACCCTGGCCAACATGGTGAAACCCTGTCTCTACTAAAAATACAAAAAAAAAAAAAATAGCTGGGCATGGTGGTGCACATCTGTAATCCCAGCTACTCAGGAGACTGAAGCAGGAGAATTGCTTCAATGTGGGAAGTGGAGGTTGCAGCGAGCCAAGCTGGTGCCACTGATCTCCAGCCCGGGCAACAAAGCGAGACTCCATCTCAAACAAAAAAAAAAAAAAAAAAAAAAAAGAAAAAGAAAAACTCACTCAAGGGCAAATTGTTGATTATCTCTAGAGACTGGCTCGGATTGCATTGAATTGGTCGATTGCTTTAGACAATATGGTCATTTTAATAGTATTAATTCTTCCAAGCAATGAGCATGGGATGTGCATGAGATGACACATTTGTAACTGATGTATAGAAACACTACTGATTTTTGTACATTGATTTTGTTCTGCAACTTAACTGAATTCATTTATCAAATCTAGTAGTTTCTTGTTGGGAGTCTAAGTTTTTCTAGATGTAAGATTATGTAAGCAAAGAGAGACAATTTCACCTTCCTCTCATCTAATGGGAAGGCCTTTTATTTCTTTCCTTTGCCTGATTGCTCTGGCTAAGACTTCTACTCCTATGTTGAATAGGAGTGATGGATGTCTTGTTCTAGTTCTTCCCCTGTTCAGTATGATGTTAGCTGTGGGCTTTTTGTATGTAGCCTGTGTTATTTTGAGGTATATGCCCTCTATACTTAGTTTGTTGAGTGTTTGAATCCTGGAAGGATGTTGAATTTTATCAAATGCTTTTTCTGCATCAATTGAGATTATTTGTTTCTTTCCTATATTTTGTTGATGTGCTATATTAAATTTATTGATTTGTATATGTCTAATCATCCTTGCATCTGTGGTATAAATCACAACTGATCATGGTATATTATGTTTTAGATGTGCGATTGGATTTGGTTTGCTAGTTATTTTGTTGAAGATTTTTATTTTTTTTAAATTATTTTATTTTTTAAGTCTACTCATAAGTTTCAGAGTTGATGATTTTTGCATCTGTGTTCCTCAGAAGTATGGGCCTGTACTTTTCTTTTGTGTGTGTGTTTGTCCTTAACTGGTTTTAGTATCAGGGTAATGCTGGCCTCTTGCAGTGAGTTAGGGAGAATTCTTTTCTCCCCCTTACATTGTGATTATCACAGATTACGTTTTTATACATTGTTTGGCCATTAACATAGTTTTACAATTTTTTTCTCCTGTTTTTAAAACCAAGATTTACAATTTTCATTTTACGCATTTGTCTTTATTTTATTTTAAGACAGGGTTTCACCATGTTGGTCAGGCTGGTCTTGAACTCCCGACCTCAGGTGATCCACCTGCCTTGGACTTCAAAGTGCTTGGATTACAGGCATGAGCCACTACACCCAGCCGCATTTGTCTTTAACTAATATGGGAAAAAGAGGGCTTATTAATCAAAATACAGTGATGCTTTCTTTATTATTTACCTATGTAACCAGTGTTCATTATTTCTGTGTATGGCTTTCAGTTACTGTCCAGTGTTTTTTCCTTTCAGCCTGAAGAATTCTCATTTTTTATAGGTCAAGTCTACAAGTAACAGACCTTAGCTTTCTTTAATTAGGGAATGTCTTAATTTCCATTTCATTTGTGAAAGATAGTTTTGCTGGATATCAAATTTTTGGTTGGCAATTCTTTTCTTTCAGCTCTTTAAATGTCATTGCATTACCTTCTGGCCTCCATGGTTTCTGATAATAAATCAGATGTTAATCTTGTAATATTGGTGTTCAGGGGTTCAGGGTGCCCTCAGTTCCCCTGAGAGGACACTTCTCCAGGTTCTTGGTCTCCTGTCCTCTCAAGAATGAGAGAGGGGACCATGGCGCAATGCATAGTAAATGCCAGACTCAAAAGTGTTTGTAGAAAGTGATTTATTTAAAGAGAGAGAGAAACAGGACGAGAGAGAAAGTAACAGCTAACTCTCATACTGAGTGAGAGCATCCAGAAATATGGAATCCAGGAGAGGAAAACAGCTTCCATGAGAGTGTTAGGGAATAGAGAGAGATGGAGTTTAGGACGAGAAGACAGGCCTCCATGAGAGAGTGTGGAAGGGGACTCCAGAGGGAAAATCTAGGATAGAGAAAAACAGCTTCCACAAAGGGAGTGTTCATGGAAGGGGATCCAAACCTGGAGTCCGAAGGGGTGTGCAAGAAGGGGACTTTTAACCTGGGAGGAACCCCCACCTTCTCTAAGACCACAGGCCAATGAAAGGAGTTCCTTAGAACTTCTGCTGGAGTGATTGACTCTTAGTTTCTTCCTGCGCCCACAAAATTCAAACATAAACTGTTAAATCTCCTGGTTGGAGAGAGATGTGAGTGGGGGCATGGCACTAGGAAGTTCTTGCCCTTAAAACTACGCCCCCTTGTGGACCTGGAAAGAGAACACATTCCCTCAATCTTACTGATGATTTCTGCGTGACAATGTGTTTCTCTCTTGCCAGTCTCAGGATTCTCTCTCTCTGGAGCTCAACATATTTACTATAATGTGTTTTGATGTGAATCTCTTTGAGTTTATTTGCAGTTTATGCACTTCTTGGATCTGTATATTAACTTTTTATCCAGAGGGATTTGACTGTTGTTTCTCAAGATATAATTTCAGTTCCCATTTTTTTCAGCTTTCCTTCTTTGACCTTCATTATATGTATGTTAGTACTTTTCTGGTTGTCACATAAGTCTCTTGGGCTCCATTTATTTTTCTTTATTCTTTTTCTTATCTTTCTTAGACTAGATAATTTCACTTGGCCTATATTCATTTTTCACTGATTCTTATGCCCGTTCAGATCTGCTGTTGAGTCCCTTTGGTGAATTTTTCATTTCATTTGTTGTACTTTTTAGTTCCAAAATGTCTATTTCTTTTTTAAATAATTTCTCTCTTTATTGACATTCCCTCTTTGTTGGATACTTTGTTCTCTTAGTTTTCTTGAGTTCTCTAAACACATTGAAGACAGTTGATTTAAAGTCATGGCCTAGTAATTTCACTAGTCATTCAACAAGATAAGTTTCTGTTAACTTCTTTTTTTTTTTTTCTATGACTGGGCCATATTTTCTTGTTTCTTTGCATGCTTAGTTTTTTGTTATTGTCATTAAATACTGTATATTTTGAGTATTATGATTGGCAAAAATGAAAAAAAAAAAAAAAGAAAAAATATATCATCTCCAGGTCTATGTATTTTGTTTCCATATTGGGACACTACTTCATTGCTTAGCCCGGTCTTTTACAACGCTGCCTTAGTCTCATCCTTAGCCTAGAGATTAGCCAGAGGTTGAAGTCATGCTCCCCTCAGATCTCTTCTAAGCATGCATTCTGCCCTGAGCATTCATGTGGCTTCCTAGTTCCCTGATATACCCAAGCACTTTTTTCAAGACTTTATTCCCCACCTTTTCTTCCCTTGGCTTTCGGCATATCTGTTGTTTGTCTCAAGGTTCTTTTGCCCTTCACAGCAGTGACTTGTTAATTTGCCTTTTAGTATTTTTGAAGAACATCCCCTATGTCGTTAGGTCTTTATTGTGAAGCAGCATTGTTGTCTGGGGTAATATCCAAGGTTTGTTGTCCCATGGCCACACCAGTATGAGGTTAAGAGTGGACGTTTAATAGGGGGAAGAAGGAGAAGCGCCGCTCTCTGCACAGAGACGGGTCCCAGAGAAAATGGGTTGTGGCTTCCACAGTCAAATGCAGGTTTTACAGATGACTTTGAGGAGGCAATGTCTGATTTACATAGGGTATGAAAGATTGGTGGGACCAGGTGTGTCATTTGCATTGAATGTGAAGAAGCTGGCTTCCCCACCCTAATCTTTTATTATGCAGATGGGTTCTCTACTGGGACAGGCCAATAGCAAAGAAATATCATATATATATATATATATATATCATATATGTTGCATATGTATGTTACATACATAATATATTTTTTGAGATGGAGTTTCACTCTTGTTGCTCAGGCTGGAGTGTAATGGTGTGATCTTGGCTCACTGCAACCTACGCCTCCCAGGTTCAAGCGATTCTCCTGCCTCAGCCTCCCAAGTAGCTGGGATTACAGGCATGCGCCACTACACCCAGCTAATTTTGTATTTTTCGTAGAGATGGGGTTTCTCCATGTTGGTCAGGTTGGTCTCAAACTCCTGACCTCAGGTGATCTGTCTGCCTTGGCCTCCCAAAGTGCTGGATTACAGGCATGAGCCACTGTGGTCAGCTGTTGCCTGCTTTTTTACTGTACACGTGGTGACAAAGAAAAGGGAAGATGTGGGCTGGGCACAGTGGCTCATGCCTGTAATCCCAGCACTTTGGGAGGTTGAGGTGGGCAGATCATTTGAGGTTAGGAGTTCGAGACCAGCCTGGCCAACATGGTGAAACCCATCTCTACTAAAAATACACAAAAAATTTAGCTGGGGATCATGGCATACTTTTTCCTAGCTACTTTGGAGGCTGAGGCAGGAGAATCACTTGAACGCAGGAAGTGGAGGTTGTGGTGAACCAAGATCGTGCCACTGCACTCCAGCCTGGGCAACAGCGTAAGACTTCATCTCAAAAAAAAGGAGAAAGAAAGAAAAGAGAAGATGGATCCTCCATGTTTAACATACTTGGCTTCCAGGTGGTAGCCATTTTCTCTTGGCACAGCTACTGGCATTTACCTGTGCAAGCTTCCATCTTTTGTTTGCAGCTCTATTTTTCAGGCTGCTCTCTGTTAGAAAATAAATTATTTTGGGGCAGCTCTTTATTAAAAGGGAAGCCTTGCTAAGGTCTTCTTTACCCTCACTGTCTACCTAAATAATTTCTTTCTTGCTCCTGTATCAATTGCAAGAAAGTTCTGACTTAGCTGAAACAAAGTGAGGCCGCTTGAGTCAAAAGAATTCATTGGAAATGAGGTCTCTTTTACTTGGAAACCAAGTCAAGACAAGACAAACAATTTCTTGGGAACAAGATCCTTTTACTGTTGTTAGGTTTGGGTTCTCACACTAGTAAAGTGGCATGCTATCTTTAAGAGTGTTACTGTGGCCAGGTAGGGAATGTAGCAAGGGTATGTTAAAATACCCCAAAACTCTCTTACCCTGTTTCAGTTGCCCTTTTCCTGGTTGTTTTCTCAGTCATAAGCTTTTTACTGTCTTCCCAAATTCCAGTAAAAGTGATTCTGACAGCTATGCAGTAGTTTTCACTGTTTCTGAGACAGGATGACCCCTAGCCCTTCCTACTTTGCCATTTTTCCTTTTGTTCTTATTGATGCATTCCTAATTCAAAAGCACACCCTAGCTCACTTTATAGTCTGTAGTTATTGTGGTCTCCCTTACTCATGTACTACCCTAAGGCCAGCGTGAATTCTGGAAATTATTCTACACTATAATTCAGTTCTCAGTATTTTTTTCTGTGTAGATTCTAGTTCGTCTTATGTCTGGGTTATTTAGGACTTCATAAACCGATATAAAAGATTCTCTTCTGAAGACTCCTCCTCTCTGATTCTTCCTTATATCTTCTTGGGATCACTTAAGTGCAGAGTGTGGAAAGTTAACAGAGCATCCCACTGTGTGTGCAGCTGCCATGCTGGTTCAGAACAGGAATGACATCCTTTCTTTGCTTATGTTTGCTTGGTGTCAGGTAAGGTCTCTGCTTTGCCTGCTTTTGCTTACTGTTGGCAGTGATAGTTGACAGCCTTCACACCTCAGCCTCTGTGGCTAAAGTGTCTGGTTTGGAGTGAAAGGGGTATAGCTTCTCTTTGGCACTAGGGCTCCCTTCTGCCAGTCCTGTTTCTTCTCATCTTGCATGATCTTCATTGGCCTAGAGGGAATGGTCTTGCTGAGGCCTTTTGGGTTGTTGTTGTTAATGTACCCTTTGGTAATTCTGAGTTGCCTGTTGCTCCTTTGTGCAGACTGGGATATACAGGAGGCAAAAATAAATCCCAAGGAATTCATTTCCAGGTCCTCCCTTGATTCCTGAAGACTCTACCTGTTCTGCTTTCTTTCCATATTTCAGAGTTTCTGATGTTTGCTTTATGTGTTATGTCCATGGTTTTAAATTGTATTTAATGGAAGCATTGGGGTGGAATATGCTTACTCTATCATGCCTAGTACAAGAACTCAACTCCCACAATCATTTGCCAAATGAATGATTAAATGATAGATGGTTCTTGCCTTCAAGTTACTTGTGTTTGTGGCTTGCATTATTAAAATAGGTGTAGTATTTTTTTTTTTTTTTTTGAGACAGAGTTTCGCTCTTGTTACCCAGGCTGGAGTGCAATGGCACGATCTCGGCTCACCGCAACCTCCGCCTCCTGAGTTCAGGCAATTCTCCTGCCTCAGCCTCCTGAGTAGCTGGGACTACAGACACGCGCCACCATGCCCAGCTAATTTTTTTGTAGTTTTAGTAGAGACGGGGTTTCACCATGTTGACCAGGATGGTCTCGATCTCTTGACCTCGTGATCCACCCGCCTCGGCCTCCCAAAGTGCTGGGATTACAGGCTTGAGCCACCGCGCCCGGCCCAATAGGTGTAGTATTAAGAGAATTAAGACTCATTCCTGTGAGAGCTCTCAGGCAAAGGAATGCGATTATTTCTAGCTGTTAGGGAATGGTATATGTGGTGTGGTGGTGTGGTGATTGTTCTGACAATGGTTCTCTGTCACCAACTGGATGTCCTGCAGCTCAGTTCAATTCTCAAACTGACAGACCCCACAGGTTATAGGCAGAGGCCTCTACCAAGAGTGTCTCCACTTCACACACCAGCTGCAAGTGTCAAGGTCCACCTGCAGTTATGACCAACCGGCTATAAATTCTGGAGTTCCCACAAATCTCTCAGGTTTATTAATTTGCTAGAACCACTCACAGAACTTACTGAAAACACTACATTTATAATTACCATTTTATTTTGAAGGATACAACCCAGACACAGCTAAATGGAAGTAATGCATAGATGAAGGTTTGGGTGCTGGGGAGACAGAGATTCTTTGTGGAATCCAGGCACGTTATCCTCCCAGCACCTCAGTGTATTCACCAACCAGGAAGCTCTGCTATGTTCCTGGTTAGCCCTCTAATGATGTGTTTGGTTTTCCTGGTGAACAGCCCCCAGTCTGCAATAGGTAGGAGCCACTATGAGACATCTCATTAGCATAAAAAAGACACAACCATCACTCAGGAAGTTCAAAGGGTTGTAAAGCACCATGCCAGAAGACTTTTGTATTGTCTATTCTTCATTATTCTTTATTATATTACAGTCATCAGATAAGATTTCAGGGAACGTGGCATTTGAGTGATTTGAATAATAGGTAGATTTAAACGTTTGAAAATGGTGGAAAGTGACATTCTAGGCTGAAAAAGTAGAAGTAGCAGTCACACTGGAGGAACACACAGGAGTGCAGGAATTGATATGTAGAACTATGTCAAGTAGTTTTTTGTTTTAGTGTAGGACACATGAAAAGGAAAAATAAATAAAGCTAGATTTGTCCTATCATTTAATGATATTTATTAATCAGAGAATTATTTATTCCTACAGAGCAGAAGAGAGAAAAGATCTGTTCATGTTTTTCCGAAGCCTGCATTTTTTTGTGGAGTGGTTTGAATATCGTAAGCGCACATTTAAACATTTCAAGGTAAAGTCTAAAGTCTTTGAATTTAAACATATATGGAAAGTAAAGCTGATATTAATTGGGGATTCATCCATAACATTCTTTTCTTAAAAGCTTTCAAACAATAGAAAATATTGTCATTGACTTTTGGAATTTGCAATTATTTGGAATAAGTGGAGGAGGATTACTTCTGTATAGATAGGTGAACAGTTTATAGGGTAGAATGTCTTGAAAGAAGTGTGGTTGCATTCAAATTTATTTAAAATGCACGTTGTGAAAAATCATTCTTTTAAGAGTACTTGAAGTAAAACAATAAATGTTAGTAAAGAATATTATCACAGCAGGCTTATCATGTAGTGGTAGACTGCTAACTTCCTGAGCCAGACTCTGTGTTTTCAGCTTCTCAATTGTACATTTTGAGTTTAAATACCAAAGCCTGATTCTTGTGAAGTAATGCTTTCTAAAGTCTGATATAGGTACTTTATAATACTTCTTTTTATTTCCTTTCTTTGTTTTCGGGCATAACTGAAATTATGTTTGGTTGCATTGTCATACCTCAAGTCCATCAAATTAGTGACAGCATTAATCCACACGGAAACCAGTTATGAAAGTCAACTTAAATAATATTTCAAGGTTCATATTCCTTCAAAAGCCTAACCAAGTCATGACTGTTGTTTTTAGGACTTATACTAACTCTCCTTTATTTGGGGTTCTATTGTTTATTATTATTATTTATTCTATTTGGTTGAGCTAATAAAACCTGTCAGGTGTAGGATTTTTTCCAAAAAGAAACCTGGGCAGTTCTGTACTACAGTACCTTGAGGCAGTCTCATGATTTTGTTATATTTTATCATAGGTAGTCTTGTGCCAGAAAAATTAAATATTTCTGCTTCACAAGTGGTAAAATACAATAATGACTGCGGAGTGTGCTGGCAGTTATGGTAGTAAATGAATCACCTAATGTTGCCATTTCTTTATGCATTTGAATGGGTGATGGAAAATGAGAGCACTAGTCTGCATTTCCAAGCTGATTTGACTCTAGGTGACTTCCAGGCAGTTACGAAAATATAATTTGTGTGTTTTTCCTATGGAGGGTAGAGAGCTCCTAGGAGCTGGTCTTTGCTAGTTATAACATTACACTAGGATGGAAAAAACCAATCACATTGTTCTGTAAGCATCACCACTCTCCTTCTCCAGAAGTTTTTCCATCATCTAAAACTGAAACATACCCACTAAACATTAACTCCTGATTCCTGCCTTCTCTTAGTGCTTGCTACCCCTGTTCTGTTTTCTGTTTCTATGAATTTGACTATTCTAGGTACCTCATATATGTAGAGTGTCCTTTTTGTCTGACTTATTTCACTTAGCATAATGTCCTCAAAATTTATCCATATTGTAGCATGTGTCAGATTTCCCCCTTTTTTTTTTGAGACAGGGTCTAACTCTGTTGCCCAGGCTGGAGTGCAGTGGTTCAGTCATGGCTCATGTCAACTTTGTCCCTGGCTCAGGTGATCCTCACACCTAAGCCTCCCAAGTAGCTGGGCCTACAGGCACACACCACCATGTCAGCTAAGTTTTGTATTTTTTGTAGAGTTGCAGTTTTTGCCATGTTGCCCAGGCTGGTCTTGAACTACTGGTCTCAATTCACCTACCTTGGCCTCTCAAGCCCACTGCCCTCCTCCTGCCTTTTTTTGAGGCTGGATCATAATCCATTAAATGTATATACATTTTGTTTATCCATTCATTTGTTGATAGACACTGATTGTTTTTACTTTTGGCTATTTTGAATTATCCTGCTGTGGACATTACTGTACTGTTACCTGTTTGCATCCCTCTCAGTTCTTTTAAGTGTAATTGTATACCTGGAAATAGAATTGCTGGGTCATATGGTAATTCTGTGTTTAATTATTTGAGGACCGTCATACTCTTTTGCATAGTGCTTGTACCATTTTATGCCAGCAATGCACAAGTTCTTCAATTTCTCTACTACTATTTTTTTTTTTTTGAGACGGAGTTTCACTCATGTTACCCAGGCTGGAGTGCAATGGTGCGATCTCGGCTCACCGCAACCTCCGCCTCCTGGGTTCAGGCAATTCTCCTGCCTCAGCCTCCTGAGTAGCTGGGATTACAGGCACGCGCCACCATGCCCAGCTAATTTTTTGTATTTTTAGTAGAGACGGGGTTTCACCATGTTGACCAGGATGGTCTCAATCTCTTGACCTCGTGATCCACCCGCCTCAGCCTCCCAAAGTGCTGGGATTACAGGCTTGAGCCATTGCGCCCGGCCCTCTACAACTATTTTAATAGTTGTTATTTTCTGCTTTTTTTTGGGAGGGGGTGCCATAGTCAACCTGATGTGTAGGAAGTGATATCTCACTGTGGTTTTGATTTGCATCTCCCTAATGATTAGTGATGTTAAACATATTTTTATGTGTTGGTTGGCCATTTGTATATCATTGAGGAAATGTCTCTGCAAGTCCTTGGCCCATTTTTGAATTTTTTTTTTTTTTTTTTAATTGTAGAGTTTTAAAAATATATTCTGGATATTAATTTCTTATCAAATATGTGATTTCAAAATACTTCCTGTGGGTTGTATTTTGACTCTTGATGGTGTCCTTTGATGAACAGAAGTTTTTAATTTTTTAAATTTATTTTTAATTAGCAAATAGTTATTTTACATATTCATGGGTACATAGTGATATTTCAATGTGTATAATATATAGTGATCAGATCAGGGTAATTAGTATTTCCATCAGCTCAAACATTTATCATTTCTTTGTGTTGGGAACAATGAGTATCTTCTAACTATTTGAAACTATATACTATGTTATCTTTAACTGTGGTTGTCTTACAATGGTATATAACTTATTCCTCTTATCTAGTTGTAATTTTGTTTCCTTTAACAAATCTGTCCCAAAAGTTTTAAATTTTGATGGAGACTAGTTTATTTATTTTTTACCTGTGTTTTTGGTGTCAAATCCAAGAAATTCTATGCCAAATTCAATTTCATAAAGGTTTTCCTCTAAGAATTTTATAATTTAGCTCTTAAGTTTAGGTCTTTGAGTTCATTTTTTAATATTATATAAGGTAGGGATCCAACTTCATTCTTTTGTATATGGATATCCAGCTTTCCCAGCACCACTGCTGAAGAGACACGTTCTCCACTGAATGGTCTTTGTACTTTTGTTGCAAAGCATCTGATCCTATTTGCAAGGGTTTATTTCTGGGCTGTTTAATGTATTCTAATTGGTCTGTATGTCTGTACTTAAACTAATATCACACTGTTTTCTCCTTCCCCTCCCCTCCCCTTCTTTTCTTTTCTTCTTGAGATGAAATCTTGCTCTGTTGTGCAGGCTGGAGTGCAGTGGTGCAATCTCACCTCACTGCAACCTCCGCCTCCTGGCCAAGCGATTCTCCTGCCTCAGTCTCCCAGTAGCTGGGATTACACCCGCTACCACATCCAGCTAATTTTTTTGAATTTTTGGTAGAGATGGGGTTTCACCATGTTGGCCAGGCTGGTCTTGAACTCCAGACCTCAAATGATTTGCCCACCTCGGCCTTGCAAAGTGGTAGGATTACAGGCATGAACCACTACACTCGGCTACATACTGTTTTCATTACTGTATCTTTGTTGTAAATTTTGAAGTTAGGAAATGTGAGTCTTCTATCTTTATTCTTCTTTTCAAGAGTCTTCAGTGTATTTGGAGGTGTTTTGAAGTTCCATGTGAATTTTAAGGTGAATTTTTTTATTTGTGTGAAAGCATTATTGAGATTTTGATGGCAGCTGTGTTCAGTCTGCATATTGTATTGGTTAGTATTGTTGTCTTAACAACATTAAAGCTTCCCATCCATAAACATAAGATATCTTTCCATTTATGTAGATCTTTAGTTTCTTTCAGCATGTAAGAAGTAAATTATTTAAAAGTTTAAAACCTCTATTTCTTTAATTATTAGTGTCAAGAATGAAACATTATTAATATAATGGAGACAGCATATTTTTACTTTCTCTAATTATTTCCTCTGATATCTTCTGGAACTTTGTGGTATAATTTGTATTGTTTATTTTGTTTTGTTTGTGATTTAATGTTGTGTCTATGAAGGTGTAAGGTATGCATGTTTATATCCTCTTATCTAGACATCCCCCCCCAAAAAAAGAAAAAGAAATCCCCAGATTATTTCTTTAATTCTATAATTCATACCTTTTACCAATCCTCTTTCTCCCTTATCATCGTCTTATCTAAAACGACTGACTTTTATATTTTTTCTTAATTTGAGAGTATTTTATGGTGTTTTGGTCCGTAGGTTTTATCATAAAAAGAATATAGAAATACATTATTTTTCTGAAAACTAGAAAGATGACAGGATTCAAGATTATGACAGTTTAAAGATTCAGTTTTTCCAGATGAAACAGAACCTTTTTATTTGGATGGATTTTATTTTGCAATATTTATTGTATATTCAATTCAAATGTGCTCACTATTGTGCTAGCACTTTGAAAGTATAAAGTATAAGGCTGCATTTAGTGCTTGTAGTGAGCTTTAAGTCACAGGAAAATGAGGCATGCACACAAAATAATGAGAAAGCATTATAATAATTATGATCATTAGTTATCAAAATAAGTGAACGAGCTAATAATCATTGTTAGAATAGTAATTGTGGTCTTAGATCTCAGATGCATTAATCAAAAATTTTATCTTGAGGTCAACTGACAAACGGGGGATAGTTGAAAAACATGTGACATCATTGTAGGTAGGGAAAAAAACAGAAGCAAATGCTTAAAAATGGGAATAAATATGTATTCTGGGAATAGTGCACAGAGACAACTTGATTTCAATACATACTTCATGATGGAAATAATGTTTGTACTTTTGTTTAGTTAGTCCAGACTTACGTTTCTAAAACACTGATAATTTTGTTTAACTTCAAAGCAAAGTGTAGACTAAGACTTTTAGTGGGGTACAAGCAAGACGAAAGTTATTTTAGAAACTTTACTCTGGCAGCACTGAGTCATCATAAACTACTAC